CCGCATTAAAGAGATGGGAAGAAGGGTGTAGGGAACATTTCCAGCCCATGTAAGGACCAGGAACAATTGCATTCCTAGCACTAAGGAGAGCGCAGTGACTCCTCACTCCCTACTCCCCCAGGGGCAGACAGCATTCCAAAGGAGGTGGGGAGAAGTTGGGTCATGGCCCCACCTCAGCACCCCTCCACACGAGTCCACGTAGCATGCAGCATTTCATCAAGGGGTGCAGCAGCAGCTCTGCTCCTCCGGGGGCAGTATAGGCCCTTAGTTTTGGCTGAGCTTCGATGGCACAACTGAGTGGTCAGGAGGCAAAGTCTGCACCTCAAACACATTGCTATGAACCTCTGTCATCCCCGACAGTGGTATCACATGGAATACATTTGCATGCTGTCAGATCTGTGATTCAAATGTAGAGTTGCCTGCATGGTGCAGCCCTGAAAAAGGTGAGGCGGATAAAGTATACATCTTAATGTTGTCGAAATGTCATTGGCCCTTCTTTCTTAAGTCCCTCCTCAGCATACCCTTCAATGTCTTCAGGTGCAGTGCCCTGAATGCATACTAACTGTATGTTAATGAAGGAAAAATACAATCCAAAGCACTTGTAAAAATAGAAATAACTCAATATATTAGATGCCAGAAAATCCATCTCAGCTTGTCATCCTGGCCATGTTTGGAAAATGCCATGGTCGCAAAATTGCACATGAAAAATCTTCCTAGACAGTTAATAAATTCTCACTTTAAAGTTCTGCAATTACTGCATATATCTCCCATACCAAAAATGAGAAGCAGTGATTAATAGTAATGTCTTATACTGTCCTTGCTCCAAGGAGTAAGATTCAAAATTACTTTTACATTTACAGATTCAGGGACAGATTTTCAACACCCAGCAGTTCCCTCTGAGAAGAATAGGAGTGCTGGGGCTTGAGATCTTTTGCAAATCTGGTCCTTTAATTTCATTTCTAATGATTTCACTAAATATTTGAAAGAAAATACATTTTTAAAAAATCTGAATGAGTCTGACTCTGAAAGTTTTAGCCAAACTCAATTTTGTTTTTTTAAAAACTCTTATTAACGCACCGTTTTTGTTTTGTTAATTTTGCTACTATCACAGAGGGAAGTGTCTGCAAGGATAGTCCAAGTAGTAACAGCTGAAGCTGTAGCAGTCCTGAAAGGTGAACAGGAAAAAGAAGCCCAGCACAAAGATCAGCCTGGACCATTACCTTTAGGTAAAACAAGGCATTTGCAAGAGTGGGGAAGGTATCTCTGTGTGTGCAGCTGTATATAAATATAATTATTAATATCAGGTCACAATATATAATGCATGTAGATCACAAAGGTGGTGCTGATATTCATGGATAAATTGTAGAACCCTGGGATAAATTTTGTAACCAGATAATAAATAAAATGTCATATTTCCCCAATTTATCATGCACCTTTGACTGCCTCGCTGACCCTATCCTCACTAGTCCATCTCCCACCAGGTCTGCATTACATTCTCTGAGCAACTTCGACCGTTATTGTTATTATTGTGTTTATTATGATAGTGGCTCGTTAACTGAGGTGCAATTTTGCCCGAAAGTCCCTAATTCAGCAAAAATACTTAACACAGGCTTGACTTTAAGCATTTGCTTAAGTCCTATCGAGATCTATGGAATTTAAGCGCACACTTAACTCCTTTGCTGAGTTGGGCCTAAGTGAGGGCAGAACTAATTACACAGCCTGGGTGTTGAGACATTCTTCAACATACTCTGAGAAACAACGTATATGTTTGCAATGATTTCTGTTACAGCGCCTGTAGGTACGAAAGTACATCTGTG